CACCTTAGATAACTGTACAGTAGCATTCGTTTGATCTTCAGAACAATTGCATTTAACTGTTCTGTGCACTTCCTGAACATTTATGTCTCGTTCATTTGTTCTGAATTTGTGCAAATGTATTTAAAATTTGTACCGACTTTCATACTTTGTGGCTCTTATTTGGGTATTTTGCATCCTACAGGCATGTACTAGAAGGATAGAAGGTGATGAATCAGGGAGCAAGCATTGCACTGGACAGTATTTTGATTATTGGCAATGCATTGACAAATGTGTAAGCTCTATTTCTCTATTCTCCGTTGTTGCTCTATTTAGCATTTCGTTTTGTTTCTAAACTTTTTATGGAATTGTTACACAGGTTGCCCCAAAGCTATTTGAAAAACTCAAGTAACATGGAGATAAGTGTTCATCCATTACGATTTTATCTTGCTTTTTCATTGTTGAAGCCTGTGCTACAGACTTGCAATCCCTTCAATCAACTTAGTTGCCGCATGGAAAATTTTGTACTATGCACATTATTAAGAAGTGATTAATAAAGGATACTTATGGGTTAAATTTTGTGGACACTTTTATTTGGTCAGATGATTCAAAATCCGGAGGACATTATTCCCAGATTTTTGTTCTCTCTTGCGTTGTTATATGAGCTCCCAGTTACCTAATTTCTTTATGGGAGGAAATATCATAAATCAGTGATTTATATAAGCCCATTTCTTCTTAGTTTTGGTTGTTTTGTGGTTTATAGTCCTGAATTAGTGTGGCATTAAAATTTGCATGCAACCCTTTAGGTCGAGAATATTGCTAAATGAGTCATAGAGTAGACAAAAGTGCAAGGTACAGTCAACTGCTAGAGTGATGTTCCTCACTGTATTTGTGGGTTTTCTTCTGGGCTGTCTTCTTATTTAGCCGATGGAGAGGTAATAGGTATCCTGTGAAATTGTTGATGGAGTGTTCACCTAACACTATAACATGTTAATCTATGCGTAATCAAACCATGTGGCAACTTTATCATAAAAACAAGACAAGTAAATTGAAATGGATGGAGTAATTTTTATGGAATAATTAGGTTTTTGTTTTAGTTGTTGACTTGTGATGACAAATCAAAGGTTTCTTATCTTCTTTAGGTGCTTTGTTTTTAATCTGTGGATATCTTATTGATTTTTTAGAGCTTCCTGATTCTGTATGCTTATTCACTTGTTTGTCAAGCAGGATGAGAAGTATATATGTTCTCTATATAATGAAATGACTAAAGATTTTTTTTTGAATTGAAAATTACAGAGAAAGAGTCTGTTTTTAAGAAATATAGTTTTACTGTACAAAATAGATATGGGAGTACATATTTTGAATACAGGGAATACGATTCTTTTTGGTTTTCACCGTCCTCCGAAAATAATTATAACTTATAAATATACATAAATTATACACTAATGATGTATAATTTTGCGTATATTATACATCCGTAGATAATTATTTTGGACGGTGGCGATACAGTGTGAAAATCCCCTTTTAATGTTTAAGAATGGGTCCAAAACCCCAAGAACATGATAGTTCTAATGGGATCTTCCATGTTTGAACTCTTTCTTCTTTGATTTTGATTTTCTTTGGAATTTTGTTTTGATTTTGAGAGCTTTTCTCTGGTTGTTCTCTTTGATTTGTGAATCAAAGATTTATCATCTTCAGAGAAATGGTGAGGCTTCATCCGTGTGTTGAAATGTTTTACTTAAGATATTGAAGCTTCTTATAAATTGTGGACAAAATACAAACAAATTTATAGAAAAAAACTTCATGAAATGAGAAAAGCATTAGAGATGGAATATATGATAGATATCTCCATTTATTAAGCATATATTCCTTATGTCTGTTGATGTGGATGGTGTATATATCAGTATTTGCTCGTATCACTTGAACCCCTCTCGTCGGAAAATTATATGGTTAAATTTTTATCAATAATAAAAAATCACTATTTTATCGTTGTAATTTTCTGTTGAAAAATATTTAGAACGTGATTCCATAGATATTTTGATTGAACTCAGTAAGAAGAGAAAAAAATAGTAGTATTTCCACACATAAAAAAATAGGAAGTTTTTCAATATTTCAATGAGAATTTGTAACCTATCATGCATTTTCCTAATGAGTTGGTATAGTGAAAGAATTATGTTTTGTAACACAAATTTCTCACTGATTCACGATAAATTATTTTATTTTTAATCTTCCAGTAAAAATCCCATCTTCTGTGATGAGTGTTTGTGCAAAAATAATATAAGTTCGAAGCAATAAATTTGGATGATTTGTTTGTCTAGTTGTTAACATATTGGATTCCAGATAACAAAGTTTGAGGAAAAGTACTTTTTAGTGGAACAAGAATATTATTTCCAATTGATGCTGTTGTGGATTAGATGCCACCGGATATCAGATAAGAGCATAATCTCAAAAAACTCCACTTTAACACCCCCTTCATGTTCGGACTTGATTGAAACGTGAATCAAAAATTCAAATGGTAGAGTATTTGACTCTGATATCACATAAAAATATGTTGTTTTGAGCTAATTAAACCCTAAAATGTAGAAAAATTGTTCAAATCCATATAAACAAGCTACCAGTTCATTCCTCAACCAATGTGAAACTATAACCCATTCTAACAGTTTGCCTATTTACCTAAGAAAAGGGAAAGAGACGAAGTTGAATCTAGAAACGCCAAATTATTATAAGATTTTCAAGTAAGATACACCGACAGTGTAAAAAATGTTATCACAAAAATATAGCGCGCAATTATTTTATAAATGACCGGAACATAGCATATTTTACATCAGTACAATTAGTAAAATCACATAGATATAGATCACTGTTTATTGTATTGCAAGACAAACATCTTCAGACAAGAAACACAACATATTAAGACACAAATGCTTCAAAACAAAAACATATATATGAATTATGATCATCCATTAATTCACGACTTTTTTTCATTTTTGCATCTTCTCCAACCCCTTCACCCAAGCTGGCCTAGCCAATATATCAGCACACCATACACTCACACGAGGGCGCGAATCAAACAGTGCCTTAGCTTTTGTATTCATCAGATGGTATATATTTGGTATATGATGCAAATCAACAAGTGTAAAGGAGTCGCCACCCAAGTATTTTGACTCTGTCAATCGAGTTTCGTAGATGTCAAGAACCTTAGACAATTGTTCTTCACTTTCCTTCACAATAACATCATCGGTACTGCCCAAGCCAATCATTGGTTTTATGACTAGCTCCCATGTTAATTTTGAAGCTGGTGGTTCAAATTTTTGGCCTTCTACTTCCATCCATACTGACATAATGGCCATTTTCATTGGATCTTGGAGTATTAGTTGAATGCCATTGCTAGCATAAACCTGAGCAATGTATTGAGTGATTGCCCTTGATTCTGCATTACAAGTGCACATATTGTCATTCAAATTGATAAGTTTTAAAGAAAAGGTCACTTATCAGCAATGGTAGAAACAAGAATTCATATAAGGAATCTTTACATAATTAACTGTATGGATTCACTTGTTTACATTTCCCAACTGATAAACATAAATTATACATGTGTTGAACGATTGGGTGGTGACTCGTTGAGTTAATTCTTCTTTATATATATAAAAAGGGTTCAAAAATATATATTAGGATGTCAAAGTTAAGATTGAACTTATGAACCCCTTTATCACTAGTAAAATCTTCCTTTTATGTCAAGGGGGAAAAGGTTGGATATAACAGTTGGTCTTGCTCTATTTGCATAAATATAATTATTCGGCGGAGAGGATTTAGTTTAACTCCTGTATTACTAACTCTGATCCAACTTGTATGGTAATGTAAAAAAATTTGGCACAATACATAAAAATAGTTTTTTAATTTGAACTTAGCTGACATCTGTCCAATTTTATATGTACATAAGTAGACATTTAAATTTATATAAAGTTGAACACGTAGACACGCATGTCTAAAATGACTTAATACATGTAGGACACCATGTAAGATTGCAAATTGTCATGTAGGATGTGTGTCCACTTATTCAATTATATACAAGTTTAATTGTTCACTCGTGCAAATCCTAAGTTGGTGAGCATATATGTCAGATGAGGTAAGGTTAAAGAGCATTTTTTTGTGTTATATTTTAAATATTCTATTATAAGCACTAATAATTAGTAAATATAATGAGTAACCTACTATAACATGATAGATTACATTGATAGTATAAAAAATATTTAATAATGTTTATGTATATGTAACTTAAATCTTTTCAAATTTAACACCTTGGTGCAGACATATACTACAAATTGTAAGATTAGCTAAAACACTTTACCAAAGAGCTTCAAGTCTCCATCTTCAAATGCTGGTACTTGAGCAAAAGGCTGCACCCATTGAGAAAATATCATTTTAATATACTATATGAATTCATGATTTTAAATTAAAGGAAAAAAATGGATTGATAGCAAGTACAAGTGAACCAATTAAAATATTTTTGACAAATATAAATCTGTGTAGAAATCACTACCAAATAGATTTATTTTTTTTCACTAGTAACATTCACTACCAAATAAATTTATAGTTTGTTTAGCATTTTAGAAATTATTAATTTCAAAAAGTGTTGTATTTAAAGAGTATTTTGGACGATGACAATTTGTATTTGCCATCAATATGACAAATGTTTTTGCAACATTTGTGTTTGACCAAAGTTTCAAAAAAGTGTTTTTAGTTCAGTTTATGCTGCTACTAAAAAACACTGAACATCTCAAATTTCTAAAATAAACATTTAAAAAGAAATACTTTTAGCTTCTCCAAAACTTGATCAAACATGCTAATAATGTACTTCAACCGTCCCATTTTATTTGACACCATTTGACTTGACACCATGTTTAAAGAAAAGAACTTTTGAAACTTATGGTCAAACAATTCTTAAATATTTATGTAGCTGTACAGAGGGAGTAATTATTTATGCTTACATTGAGTGAGAGGAAAGGGTGCCTCTTGTGTTCTTCTTTGGCCATATCAACAAAGACAAACTCAAAATCCAAATCCTTCTCAATAAGGCAAGAAATAACTCTCATGGTTGCAGTTGACAAGGGGATACCATGGACTTTGATTGCCATTATTTCAAGAATAATAAATTAGGATTATGATAGATTGCTCCAAGTTGATGAAATGAAGTTATATGGAGGGGTATATATAGGGTAAAATTTTCTTGATATCATTCTTAAAAAAATCAATATATCCAAAAAGTCTTGAATCCTAAGCAAACCTTTTTTAAATGCTTTAAGATTAGAGGCTAAGTAATACCATGATTATAAGATGGAGAAAGAACAGATTAATAATCTAATTAGGTAATTAATGACCTCACAACTATCCTTATATGTTGACTAAACCAATTTGTTAAGTGCATTTTAAAGTTGAACAAACAGGCTGGATAGTACAGACTGACTACTTCAAACTATGGGAGGTGTAAACTTCAACACTCAGAATTATTTTTATTTTTCTGTAAAAATTACATAAATCCTACAGTGTTTAGAGTTAATTACATTCCATCTCTATTCTTTCCTAAAATATAAAAATTCCTTTTAAACTATAGGATCTTGGATACATCATGGGGATGTACCAGGAAACTTGCAGATGCAACCAATTTGTTTCAAGGCATTCATACATTTTGCAGTAGTCATGAGTAATATTTATGGCGAAAATGGATAAATTAGACTTCTATATTTTTATCTATTTAGAAAATATAGGCAAGTGCAAAGTACAACAATAGAGTTATCTCAAGGAACCTTGCTATTACCTTGGTATAAAATGTGATCCAAAGACTAAATCTGAGAGAAATATGCACACAAAATGATGGCCTCGTCTTTCTCGTTCACATGTACCTCCTTCCTGCACCAGAAAAAATCAGTCTGTTAAAGAATCACTTAGTATTTGTTAAGCAATGCAAGAAAGTTCAGTAAAAGGTACAGTTAATAATTTACAAGGACAGAATCAGAACTTTCCTCCATGCTATGAGGGGCTAAAATCAATCTAGCTTTGTCTCCTTGTTTTTAGAAAATTTAATGTATAGAGTTACTCCACTTCTACCAAAAGGGTGCTCTAGCCTTCTAGGCATTTCAATCACAATAATTTAGGTTGGGTGCCAAGAGCCATCATACTCAACCCGGTACCGAGAAAAGAGTATTATCCAAACAAACAAAAACAACAAATATTGAAAAAAGAAAATATTTTAGCGCCTCCTACCAAGGTTGATGTATGCGGATAACATTCCCTATTTCAAGTTCGACATCTTTACAAATTCTTGAGTTAAAAATGATAGTAAACTCCCTTCTACCAGTACCCTTCCTTTCTCGAGGATTGCTCAGGCACTCAGAACCCTGCAAAGAAAAATAAAATTGACAATCGCATCACCCAACACCACAGATTTATTCTGTTTGGTAAATGAAACCATCAACACCAGTTAGAGTAAAATAAACAGTTAATAAATGTTAAGACCCCAACTTTCATTCTTAAAAATTTCCATTATGACGAAATGACTAGCCAGATGGTATGAAACTTCTTTTTTTCCCTTCTAGACCTATGTGCTTGGGGAATGAGTACTGATTTGTGTTTGTCGAGATCACTTTTTTCCCTCCTTCTGTATTTAAACAAAAGCAGATAAAACCTAAATATATATCAATTTATTCAATCTTGCATTAGATAATCCTCCAGTACAAACTACGTATATAGATCGTAAGTGACAGCGAACATCCTTGGTTAGACATTTGGATCATGGGCATATTCTGACCCTAAATTTGCAAGCTTCTTTGTGAATTAAGAAATAATATTGATCCAGACGAGGTAAAGAAGAAACCAAGAAGTGGTTTAAGCACAAAGGATGAAAAATATTGATCTAAAACAAAAGAAGAAAGAAATCATAGAACAAATATAACGTCTCCATGGTCCTTCAATTATCTGAAGCTCCTAAGAGTCAAGTCGTAGATACTACAAGGAACACATTTCTGAAAAAGTTTATACAGATCACAGTAAATGCCATATTATTAAACGACTGCAATTATTGGGGAAAAAAGTGAAATATGCAATTATTGAACACAGTGATAAATTAATTTTGGGAGTTCCTTACTGATTACACATTTCAAAAAAAAAAAAAAACTAACTACCACATTGTTTGTTTAATTTGCAGGGCTTATTTCTTACAGTGCTTCGGAGGGAAATGGTGTATAGTAAGTTAAGAAACTACGACACTTCACCCAAAAGCTACCACCTATAATGGAAAGTAAAAGTTCTTTACCCTCAGTATCCACGGTCCTAGGCCACCCTACCCGACTTTTTGTGCCATGCAACATGCTGAATTTCTAAAAGTTGTCCATTTATATGAGAATGGTAAATGTTCCAGGCACCAAGTAAAAATTGGCTATCATCAAAACAAGTACTGGGAATTTTTACTTAAGAAACTAGTGAGAGCAAGAAAAGCACGCGAAGGACCTTCAAAAAGTTGAAAGCAACGTTGTATCCTCAATAAAGTAGACATGCTCATACTTTTAACCTTCTGTTTAGCAAATGTACAATAGTTAGTTCAAGTACCTCTTCATCTCCATGTAAAGCACAAAAACAAACAGTCAGCTTGGCCTCCAAAGAACTTGACAAAATTCTCACATCAATGAAGCTTTCTGCACCTGAATTAACAGCAGAGGAGAAGGTCAGAAACAAGCAAGAGACAGGAGATACACAGTTTGGCCTTTTACCACTTGAAGCAGCATGTGTTTGTGACTTCTCCAAAAAATATGTATCTCTGTCCTTTTCACATTGCATCACGTGCTGCAACCTTCCAGATAAACTGCATGACTTATCAACACAAGTAAGAAAAGATAAAATTTGAAGAATATTTTTCTGTTTCTGTTCATAGAAAACATGCAGAATATGCTCATAACTGATACATTCTAGTTCCATAACTCACCCAAATTGCTTAGGCCTTGCAATACATAGCCTCTCATTTGTGGATACAGCTCCTAACGCTAGATGAAATTGGTCAGCCATGGTCCTCTGAGGTATAGCAGACTTCAGAATCTGGGGAACTTCCTGAAACAAAAAGAAAGGAATTGAGAGAACTACATATGGCAATTGATCGTGATGATTAAGCAGTAAAAGATTAACTACATTTACATCCTCATCACTAGATGGATCACTATCTAGTTCCTCAGGTTGTTCGCCATTGCTCATGTTTCTGTCACCAAGCAGCAATAAGTTTCTCTTCCGTAAGAACCGTGATCCAGGTATTTTTGTTTGCAGCTGTTGGATAGGCATGATTCTTACGTTCAAAAACATAATTGAAATAGTAAAAATGGTAATACGGAAGCGCTGCTGAGATCTTTAAGAAAAGAGATCTGGAGAAGAAGAAAGCAAACCATTTTAGGATTGCCTCGTGAGGAACTTGTATGCTGAAAGTGATCCAGAACCTCAGCCATGGAATGCTCATTTGGATCATGTACAACTGCTACTTCAGATGAGACCAAATTCTCCTCGAACTGTTGTACTTCATTTCCACCATAATTCTCCAATAAGTCATCCAGTGACTCTATATTTTTTCTTTGCATGTCTAATTCTGCATTTAGTGGAAGCACAGATAAGGGCATGCAGGTTTCACAACTATCATGGACAACCAAAGCATAGTCTTTCTTCTGTGGCCGGGATTGGAACAAAAATTTGGCCTTAGATTTGCCCGGGCTTCCTGCAGTTGATATCAAAAGTCGTTCAAAAATTTACAGCTTGAAAACTCAATCACAGATCTCAAGTAAAAAAAAAGAGCCGTCATAGATGTCAGACTCGAGGATTCAATATTGAGATGCATCCATTTCTTTTCTATTTTACTTGGAGTTCACTTGTTCCTGAGAAACACCACAATTACACATGTTATGCTGGGGGGGGGGGATTACATTGTTATGCTTGTCAGTAACAGCTTAGTCCAAGACAACTTAACCAACTGTGATGAACAATGCTTGATTAAGATCATTCTTCTCGTTGGGGGAGTTGACGACATCTTTAGCATCAAGACAAAGAATGCAAAATAGGGAAATGAAGTCAACAGAAATACTAATACCTTTAGATGATCTGTTCAATTTTGATGAGGCCCCGTATACCGATGAACACCCAGCATCTTTATTGAAGAAAGCTCCTGATTTGCAATCTGCGCTTACTTTAAGCATTGTACTTTTACCATCTCTTTTGAATTTTCCATCAGTAGAAGGCCTCATCTGCCAGATTTTTAACCTCCAAAGATCCACTTAGTATAGGTTGGACAAAATATTAATTATTCAAGTTTTAGTGATATCGATCTACATAGAGATCAGCAGTCATACCTCATCATCAGACATAATTTCCTCTTCTGAATTACAAGTGGATGTAATTCTAGTGACGTGACAAAATTCATCATCTAAGGAGCAGGACAACGCCTTCCAATGATCATTTTTGTTGATGAAGCTACCATCCTGATCATTTTTGTTGATCAGGCTACCATCCTGACTCTTAAACAAAGGAACTTCAACGTCATCTTCTTCGCATAAACCTGTCCGCCTCTGCTGACAAAAATGCAACCGCAACTGTAAGAGGAAGTTGTCATCTGAACTTTTTCCTGCTTATCATTTTTGTCTAGTTCCACTTACTAATAGATCCCTTTTGTAGATGGGGTACACATAATGTTAATACAGGCCTCCCCCATCAATTAATAAGCTATGTGTTGCGTATATGAACAAAGTTCCACGTTGGTATTTTTTTTTCTTTTTTCTGATAAGGTAGTCACACATTGGTAGCTGAAAGGAAAAAGAAACTACATAAAAGGTATAGGGATGGATACTCTTAATGTTTGAGCCCTTATTAGGAAAACTGTGCGACTTTTGGCCCAAAGCGGACGATATTACACCATGCTAAGAGTATCTCCAGGTTATTTTAGCCCAACATGTTGTTCCTTAAACTGAACGATTCAAAAGAAACGGGAGAAGTGGAGAGCAACTTTTTCTTGGAATCCCCATCAAAAAGTCAATTTCCATGTTGAATTCTTAACCACCATGACCCATTAAAGTCAACTAGGAACTATTTGAGACATATCTAACCCCAAAAAAAAAAAAAACAGAGAGGAAAAGACGAGGACCAAAGGAACAATAGAAAGAAGGAATGAAGGTAGGTCATATGACAAAAAAAAGGAGGTGAATTCAAACCTGTACCAGCTGATCAGAGTTCACTGTATCGGTTGAATGATGAAGTCTTTTGACATCTGCAGAAGATTAACATGGATAACTTCCCAAATGTCCTTATCTTTTTGAATATTTTGCAGGGGGGTGCTGATGAATGAAAAATCAAGTGGAGAAGTTTCATTGGGAATACCTGTGAGCCGTTCAAGCTGGGAAAGGACTCCTAAACCTCCCTGACAAACAAGAAACATCCAAGTCTTGGGCATTATAAAGTATTCATCAGCAAATTCATATACAAAATAAGGGGTTCACTGATAACTAGGAAATGTGTGCAGTGAACATGCCTGCATTGTGAATAAACACTAAACACTCAATCTCACAACTATAATTAAATTGCTAACGATCAAAGCCAAAACATAAACCTTAACCCTCCAAACCACTTTGAGATTTGTTTTTCTACGAATAGTAAGCAAGACAATTATGTGATAACATTTTAACAATCAATCAGCCAATAAGATTAGTTGGGATTGGCTATACGACTCCTCTATATCCATTCTGCTAACAGTAAACAAATTTTGTCTTAGACTAAAAATAAATTAACAGCTTACCTAGAACATTATAGAAGGCAGCTGACGTTTTAACTCGAGGAATTTCAAAATGTAAGCAAGAAAATTAACTAGGCATTACCTTGTTTTCTAAGGAACAATTGTCATTTGTCATCCATTCGTCATCGTCCATATCTTCCTCTTCTAACAATAACAATTTAAAACAAAGCAAAGCAGATTCAATTAAAACAAACAAACAAACAGACCTAGGTTATTACTGTGAAGCTTTCTTTCAAGGAGAAGAAAGGTACCGGAAAAACTCTGGTTCGAATCTTCCTTTTCCTGCATTATAATTGAGGAAATCAAGTTCAACTTTACAGAAAACATCGAAATTCATTCAAAATCAACACAAAAAATCGTCTGAACAATTGCAGGTAACCTAAAACTACAATACTGATGAGATAATCTCCGATTTTTGAGCAAAATGATGAAAATTGTTAGGAAAATCTCGAAATACCTGAAGAAATACTCTACTAGCAGCTGAACCTTTCTCTTCCATAGCTGGTAACAAGCAGAGACGCAATTTTGCGGAGCTAATTGGGGCAACAGTGGCGGGAAGTTTAGAGTGAGGAGTGGAGTTGAACTGCATATATACTGATACTACTACTGTAATTTACATTTTTTCTTTTTTTTAAGTTAAATAAAGCTAGTCGTGAAAAAATTTGTTATATATAATATAATGAAAAAACGTCTGAAAAATATTTTATTTTTATAAAATTATAGTTACGATATCAAATTTTTATCCCTGCACTTCCCTAATATAATCAAATCAAAACTATAATTATTCTACATAACATAAACACTTCCTATGATATTTTCTTCTTAAATTAGTCTTTCAAACAGCACCATTAAAGCAAACTATAGGTAGAGTAACGAATTTCTCAAATATGAACATATTTAAAATTTTAAATTATCCAATAAAACATAAACATTTCCTTATGAAAAATATAATATTTTCTTCTTAAATTAGTTTTTCAAACAGCACCATCTAAACATATTTAAATTTTTCAATTTTTGAACATTTAAATATGAGATTTAAGAACTAAACTTTTCAAGTATGTAACAATGCAATAATCTCGATTTACATATCAACTGAGGTTAGAATTAGAGGATTACACAAAATTTTAATTTCTGAACTCAATAAAGCATTCAAATTTTTACATAAAATGGTGATATTTAAATTTTTCTAAAGCCTAATCCTCCCTCACTTTTTGTTATACATGTGTAGAAATTGCATTTGCATTCTAATGGTGGTGTAAAACGGATTTGTTTTAAATGTGAGCTTATTTGAAGTATTTTTTTTATTAATATTCAAGTAATGTCTTGTTGAATAACACATGCACATTATATTTATTCAATAGATTTTGTGAATAGAAAACAAGATAAACAATATATAGATAACATAAAGTCATATCAATTCAAATTACGTGAACAGAATGAACAAGAACCAAGTCTTACCAATAGGATAGATTTCAAGTTAATCACAACATATAATGTAAATGATTACAAGTCTTGATAATCTAGTTGAATTTAAAGGCAACTCAATAATATGCATTATAAAACATTACAAGTATATTTTGATAATCTACTATAAACATTTACAAGACTTAAATATTCGACATATCTTGTGAACAATAATCTTCTCAATTCAACAAAACTTCAAGGTAATACAATAACGAATTGATCGAATGAGTAGCAAAGACAAACAAAAAAGCACTCAAGAAAATTTTACCAGTTCGATAAAACTTATTAATAATTCAACAACACATCAACCAAATGAGCAGTGTGAACAAAAGTTAAAGAGCACAACTTTACCGTGTCATTTGGTTGTGAATAAGTTATCCCAGAATTAGTTATCCCGGATTAGCTATCTTGGGATAACTTGTTAGCTATTTTGGGATAACTTATCTCACCATGTACGTAAAATAACTTATATATTATTATGATATGAGTGGTGGAATAAATTATCTCAAATATGACAAACAAAAACAAGTTACACAATTTTATCCTATCATTATCTTTTATTTTTGTCTCTTACATCAAACGATAACTAAAATTAAAGATCACCCCGAACTAAGAACAATTTGTACAAAAACTTGAAATCAAGACAAGGTGTAGTGGGTACTGGGCCCAAGCGAAGCTTTGGGCCTAAAAGTTGCTTTACTGGCCCATGAAAAAAGCTTACACAGCACGCCTGGCTCCCATATAATGTTATTTAACGTAATAAGTTTGTTATATATGAAATTTTTCCAAAATATAATATGAACCCAATTATATAAACCCGCTCAAATTTGAAATCTCCCCAAATCCCCATTTCTGACACCATTACAGAGGTGAAGCACCGAGCTCGAACTCTCTCCAGATTCTCTCTACAAGAAGATCCATTTCCAGCTGATGGAGAGGAAAACTCCAAATAGAACAAGGAGGAAGCAGAGAAGCAACCAAAAAAGCAAGAAGAGGATGAACAAGGGTTCACTGTCTAGGCATTTCACTGTTGGGATTGCAAAACCTCCGCTTCCTAATCAACAACAGCTTCATTCCTCACTTTCTAATGTTACTTTACCGAATCCTTCTAGATTCCAGAAACTTCTGGATTCTGATGACCTTCCGCCAGCTCAATCTCAGTTCTCTTCAGTTTTGCCGTTGAATCTCGATGCTGATGATGATGCCGATGTTGCCGATGTTGCTGAAAAGGACTTCATTCTCAGTCAAGATTTCTTCTGGTAAATCTTTTTTCCCTTTTTTTTTCGATTAGAAGGATATGGGTTTGAATGGAATAAGATGTAGAGTAGCCACTGAGATTTGAACTGGTTCCGATTGTGCCCTTTTTTTGGTCCCTTGATGTTCCATATGAGACCGGGAACTGATTAAGGTGTAATAAGTTGATTGCTTACTGTTCAATTTTATATTGGTTAGGTTTTGTTTTTTAACTTTTACCCCCAATTCCTGATCGTATCTTGGTATTGGTGAATCTTAGTAGCTTAGTTGGTTCACTAACTTAACTTGCACCTTGTTGGTAAGGGTTTGATTCCCAACTTGTAATCTCCTCCCCCGATTTTATAAATATAAAAGATCATATATTCACATTGTATCCTCTAGTTTTGTTTTCTGCTTATAAATAATTTTTTGGAATGCAGTACCCCGGATTATCTAACGCCAGATGCACCTGCAATTTGTAATGGGCTTGATGGTGATAAGGTAATTTCTTTACCAGAGTGTTAAAAATTGTGACTTTTTTTCTCTATGACAGGCTGTAGTTTCAGTATGTCATACTGTGCGTTTCCCTCTATTTCTTTTAGGATGATTATACTCCTTGTCCCAAATCACCCGAGAAGCTTCTAAGTGTATCAAGAAAGAGGCCGCGACTAGGTATGAAATATTTCGTACTTTGGTGTCCATTTTACTTCATTTTTCATTTGTGGAATCGTTACTGGCTCTGTCAAGTTTTTAACTTTTATCATGTAAATTCTCTTCTTTCTTTTCTTATATTTGTTCTACTATTGAGGCATGACAAAGGCGTCGAGTAAGGTAAGGGGACAAACTAATAGCACATTCGGATATTGAAGAAAATTAGAACAGAATAATCTCTGAAAGTTTAAGAAACTATATTGTGTATGAATATCCCTTGCATTATCAAGCTTCTATTTTTAGCCGTTCTTTTTGTTACTGTTGGACACCTTTGAATCTGGAGATCTCTTTCTCTCTCTCTCTCCACTTTAGCATGTTTTGAAGTTTGTTGTTTGCACAATTATCTTCCATAATTAATCGTAAAGTTGTAAATTAACTTTCTTATGTGGTCCTTTCGTGATGCCCATCTTTACAGCGTCGGTAAGGCCTTTTAGTTCCGATTTATCTGGACAGCAGCAGCCAGTAGATATTCCTACAGATACTTTTGGGACAGACGAAATGAAATCAGAAAAGATAAGCGAGTCAGAAAAGGGTCCCAGTTATGTGTCACAATCTGCTATTGCTTTAAGATATCGAGTCATGCCTCCTCCGTGCATTAGAAACCCTTATCTCGGGGATGCTTCCGAGATAGATGCTGATCCTTTTGGTAACAGGAGATCCAAGTACCCAGGTACTGGTCAGTGAGTTTGAATAATTGGTGGATTCTATTTTCTTTGGAACAATTTAGTACTTCAAAAGAAAATTAGAGTGTGATCTTTTGTTCTTCATGGCAGAATTATTGTGTTGTTTTCTGTTAAGTTCCTGATGTTACTCTTTCTTTGATCTGTAGGTTTTAACCCTGCAATTTCTGGTAATGATGGTCTGTCACGGTATCGTACTGATTTCCACGAAATTGAGGCATGTTTTGATGCGTGTATTCTTGACTCCTACTAATACTTTCTTAAATTTTTTTCTGGACCTATCTAAGACCCTTCATTCTTTCAGCAAATCGGTAGTGGGAACTTCAGCCGTGTTTTCAAAGTCTTTAAGAGAATTGATGGATGTATGTATGCAGTGAAACATAGCACTAAACAGTTACATCAAGACACAGATAGGTGATATTTCCTTTCTTTCAACACTCTGGCCTTTATGGTATGACACTACAGAGTGTGCATATTTTTCTTGACATATCATATAACTAAAAGAAACATTTCCTTAGTTATTTTCTGATATCCTGTTGGCCATATAATTGGTAGCATCTAATATCAGTGGAAGTTTGGGGTGAGGCTTTAGTGGTATTGCTATGGGGTTTGCATGATATACGAATTAAGAATGCAATAGGAAATGTTCTACATCTATAATTTATGTGTACTGTTTCTTACATTTGGCATACTGTGTTTTCTCCAAGTCAAACATTTTCAATAGATTTGAGCACGTATTTTTGGACAATGTCTTCATAAGGTGAATCTTATGTGATGCCAAGCATGCTGTTTATATTCAATATAGTTCAGTCCTACTTATGCATTTAAATTGTGTTCTTCCAGGAGACAGGCTTTGATGGAAGTGCAAGCATTGGCTGCTTTAGGTAGCATGCTGATCTACTTCTGTTCCTGATATTATTATTTGAACTACCCCAGAGATTATTGTTCAAACATGTTTTGTTATTTATACTTACAGGACCTCATGAGAACGTAGTTGGTTATTATTCATCTTGGTTTGAAAATGAACACCTTTACATCCAAATGGAGCTCTGTGACCACAGCTTATCCAATAAAAAATATTGTAAACTATTTTCGGAGGTAGAAGTTTTGGAAGCAATGTATCAGGTGCGGCTCTTGTTGGAATCTTTAAGAGCTACTTTGTGTCATGTACTGAGTATGACTGTCTTATAAGTCTGAAATAAAGTTAGAAGGAAGATATATATCTTGCAAACCAATTATAATTCATCGACCAAAGAGATAATTTCTTACTATATACATAACCAATGAGCATATCATCAATCATGAAACTTCAACTGCTAAAATAACTGTGATTTCTATCTGTTATTTAGGGAAAACAACTGTAGCAAAGTCAGAACCTAATCCACCCTCCTAATACTTGAAACATGGAGCACACAAGATGCAACACTTCATAATGTTTTAAGGTTTTCATGGAAATACAATATTCAGATCTAGTTCCATTTTGTTATTTACATTGGTAGGTTGTACTTTTGTAACTTGATTCTC